TGGAGAGGTTTTTGCTATAGGGTGCGTGCGCTAGCCAGACAGACAGAGAGAGACAGAGAGACAGAAAGTGAGAAATCACCCCCCGGGGGGATGGTCATGCTGCAATCCCTTCTCCTCCATTCTCCTCTCGGGATCTTGGGCACGCACACACACACGCCCAGCATGAGTTTTAAGCCACTGGGTCCGGGACGCGAACCGCGGTCAACTACGTGGGAGTCCAGCGACATAGCCATTACGCTAACTGCTGGTTCCCGCCTGGGTACATAATTTTTAACGGTCAAGTTTGGTAATAGACAACCTTCACTCTCTGCATATTCCAGTTATAGTCCCTATTTATATTCTAGTGTAAATCAAAATGTCATTTTGGCTTTTACCTCAATAGACTCACTGAGGTGGTGTATTTGTAAGTGGGTAGTTGGTAGGAGGAGGATTGAGGAGAGAGGGGGAGGCAGGAGATAATGATACTGGAGAGCAGAAGGGTGAGCGAACCAGGAATGATAGTTGCTCAGCAGTTAGGGCCCACCCGCGGCAAGTGTTCATTAATTTAAAATAAGATTAGACACTGTGGATGTCGGCTTTATTCAGCTGCATAGGTGCAGGTGCAGAGTAGGTGGAGAGCTGGACTAACTGGGGCTAAAGTTTTGCTAAGGGACGTACAGTAAGGTGAAAACAAAGGAGCTGAATGAGAACTATACATTTTTTGTCAGTAAAGTTGAATGAAAGAAAAAAAGTCATGTGAGTGGTGTGATTGTTAGGACTGACCGCAGGATTTATGCTGAGGAGGGACATGGAAGATGAGAAACTTGAGAGGATGTGAAAAGTCAGTGGATCGGAGGGTTCCAAGGAATCACAGTACTGGAGAGAATGAGCTAGAAAGATAGGAATATTTTAAAATATTTGATGAGGCAGGTCATAAGCCTCACCAACAAGTCAGATAGACGGCTTTCTCAGGTCCACCCGTAAGTCAGACGGGTGAACGCACTGGTCTCTGGTGAGGAACGTGTGTCTTTCATTTGTCAAGCCTCTCCTTGGCGGATACGAATCTACCATCTGAAGTGGAGCCAGAGCTGCGCAGTTTCATTGCTAAGCGTCTTTCGAAGGGAGCAGTCTTTGAAGGCCTGGGTCATGTTGCATCTGTGGAGCTGAAGTAAGTGTAAAATGTGCTGTGTCCTGGGTTTTTATTTCTGAGCTAAATATGAGAATGATGAGAAACTCCCGAAGACCAGCTCCTACTGGACCTGCAGAGTCCATCTTTGCCCTCGGCAGCCTGAGCGCTGGGCCTCACTCAGAAACATTTGTGGAGCAAAATTAATTAACGGCAGAGACTCTGTCACCTAAGTGAACTTTATTTAATTTCTACTTGGAAGAAAAGCGGTAATTACCAAAACTAAAATTGTGTACAGTTTGTAAAGTGCCTTCACACACTTTGATGGGATTCTCCTTACAAAAGAGAAATAGGCCAGCCAAGATGGCTTGGCAGTGGCTCAAGGCTCTGATGCTGAGGTCATGTGGGAAGGTCCCAGGTTCTCCCTGTACCCGCCAGGTGTACACACTATTTTTTTTTTTTTTAATTTGTTGTAGGGCATATGTGCTCGCTGGAGAGAAGAGGAGAGAGAGAATGAGTGAGAAAGCAGCCCCGGGGGGCATAACCACACTGCAATTCCTCCTCCATTCTTCTCTCAGGATTTTGGGCATGCACGCACCTATGCCTAGCACGTTTTTCAAGGTGCCAGGTCTGGGACTTGAACAGCACAGTTGGCCGTATGGGAGCCAGCCATCTTTACCACTACACCACCGGCTGGTCTGTGGCTATTTGAAAATATAATTATTGGCCCAATGAGAGTGGTGCAGGGTTAGTGTAACACTTTGTGATGCTAAAAGCCACCCAGAAGGGGGAGGTTGTTCTTGGTTGACGTGTATGCACCAAGGGTGAGTGGGTTCTTACCTGGCTGACTGAGGCTAGGGGTAGATGGTGGCCTGGGGACCTGGTTGGTGGTGCCTTTTCTCTCTCTCTTTCTCTCTCTCATGGATTAGATAGATGATAGATAAGCTTTGAGGGAAAAAAAAAAGAGGACAAGAGATTTAGAGCAGATAGACTTACTTCCATTTTCAGATGAGGAAATAAACTCTGAGAAGTTAAGTGGGATGTCACAAGGTCACGAGGCCAGTCACATCAGTGGAATTCAGGCTTAGCCATAGGCATCCTAAGTCCAGTTCCAGCTGTCTGTTACACTTCTTGGTTATAGTTCACCTCAGACCACAAAGTTGGCATTGAGGGCCCCTTGGGGGTATAAAGACGTGGCCCATGATAAGGTCCCAGGATTAACATGGCACATCTGCTTCAGGCGCCAGTGACTCATGAAGGTGGGGAGGGGAAACATGGGTATATTAGGGTAAACGTGGGCGTACTATAAACGTGTGAAATTTGTGAGTCAGAATTCAGAGAAACTCACGTCTATTGGTGGATGGCTTTAACTATGCTTCCCAGGATATGTATTGATTTTCCTCTGCTGCTCTGAGTAAAACAACTGGGAAGTCTGGAAGCTCTGATTAGTGGACATCTAATCGTGTTGCCAGTCAGTGACCCAGGATCCAAGCCATCCACAAAATGGGAGGCACAAGTTATTAAAATAATAATATTATTATTATTAAAAAATAATAGTATTTTTTTCTTTCTTTCCTAGAATTCCAGGTTACCGAGTTGGTTGTTACTACTGCCTTTTCCAACAAGAAAAACTCTTTCCTGAGACAGCAACAGTAGACTCTGAACAGAACCCTTCAGAGTATGTGGTCTGTTTTTTAGGAGGTTCTGAAAAAGGACTTGAGCTATATCCTTTCTTTGATCTTTGAGGATATCAGGAAGGAAAACATGGGAATGCAAGTGGAAGAGTTTTGTATGTGTGTGTGTTTAGGTTTTTGCTATAGGGTGCATGTGTTCACTGGAGAGGGACAGTGAGGGAAAGTGAGAAATTACTCAGCCCCAGGGGGATGGCCATGCCACAATCCCTTCTCCTCTGTTCTCTTCCTGGGATTTTGGGCACGCATGCACATGTACCCAGGGTGATTTTCTTTCTTTTTTCTTTTTTTGGAGCGGTTTTTGCTATAGAGTGTGTGTGCTCTCCAGAAAGACAGAGAAAGACAGAGGGACAGAAAGTGAGAAAGCACCCCCCAGGGGTATGGCCACACCACAATCCCTTCTCCTCCATTCTCCTCTCAGGATCTTGGGCATGCACTCACATGTGCCCAGAGTGAGTTTAAGTGCCTGGCGTGAGTTTAAGCCACTGGGTCCGGGACTCAAACCACGGTCAACTATGTGGGAGTCCAACAACATAGCCATTATGCCAACTGCTGGTCCCCAGGGTGATTTTCAGACCACCAAGTCCAGGACTCAAACCGCAGTCTGCCACATGGGAGTCCAGCACCTTAACTACCTCATCACCTGCTGACCCTGTGGAAGAGTATTTCTACCAATCACCCAAAAGCTTTTTTACCCCTTATGTATTTACTTGAATTTCATACCTTCATATAGACATTCTGCCTTGTATTGTTTTGATTTACATTTCACACTGTTTGAGAGATTTTATATTTCCTGTTCAGAGATGAAATACTGTCTTGATTATATTCCTTTATTGCTTCCTTAAGAATATACTTTCAGGCTTGAATTAGACAAGTACATCCAAGGGCTGAAAGATAACATGAACTGCGAGGTAAGATGAATGATTCAATAGGTTATTTTTTCATCTTTTAAAAAATATTTATTTTAAAAATGTGTTTATTTAATTCCATTTGTTATTTTAAAAATATTTTATTTAACCTTACTTTATTTTTATTATTTATTTTTAATCTGACTGGAGAGGGACAGAGAGAGAGAGAAAGACAGAAAGCGAGAAAGCAAGCTCCAGGTCTGGGACTTCAACCGCGGTTGACCACATGGGAGTCCAGCGCCCTTAACCCCTGCATCACCTGCTGGCCCCCCGTTTGTTATTATTTTTTTTTCATTTGACCAGAGAGAGTGAGAAAGGGGAAGGAAGAAAACAAACTGCCACATCTGGGACTTGAATTACAGTTGGCCATGTAGGAATCCAGAGCCTTTAACCACCATGTCACCTGCCAGCCCTTTTATTTATTTATTAAATTCCATTGGTTATTATTATGTTTTTAAAGTTGACCAGAGAGAGAAAGGAAAGGCAAGAAAGCAAGCCGCCAGGTTCAGGACTCCAACTGTGGTTGGCCATGTGGGAATCCAGCACCTCAACCACCATGCCACCTGCTGGCCCTATAGGTTTTTTTTTTTTTTTTTTTAAATATTTATTTAATTTTATTTATTCATTCATTTATTTTTTAATTTGACCAGAGAGAGACAGAGGGTGAGAGTGAGAGAAGTGAGAAAGCAAGCCACCAGATTCAGGACTTGAACTCTGGTCAGCCATGTGGGAATGTCCAGCACCTTAACCACCACGCCACCTGCTGGTTCCCTGGCCCTATAGTTTTTAAAGACTGGAATGATAAATACACTGTGACTTTTATACTTATCAAGTCATTTAGATAGGTAGATACCTAAATTCTAAAAACTTGCTATCTTTGTAGGCGAACAGATGTTTTTTTGTTTTTGGTTTGTTTGTTTTTTGTTTGTTTTAACATTTGTGTGGCAGGGTGTATGTGCTTGCTAGAGAGAGACAGAGAAAGAGGAAAAGTGAGCAATCATCCCTCACGGGGTCAGCCACACTGCAGTTCCTTCTCCATTCTCCTCTCAGGATTTTGGGCACACCTGTACATGTACCTAGCGGGTTTTCCAGGCTACCAGGTCTCAGGCTTGAACACAGAGTCAGCCATGTGGGATCCAGTGCCCTAAGCACTATGCTATCTGCTGGCCCTAGAAAGGTGATTCTTTTTTTAGAGAGAGATTTTTGTTACAGGGCGCATGCATTCCCCAGAGAGACAGAGAAAGACAAAAGAGACAGAAAGTGGGGAATTATCCACCCCAGGGGGGAAATGACCATGCTGCAATCCCTTCTCCATTAGAAAGGTAAGTTTATTTCCTTTTTTTTTTTTTTTTTTAAGACAGATTTTTTGCTATAGGGTACGTGTGTGCTTGCCAGAGAAACAGATAGAAAGTGAGAAATCACGCTCTGGAGGATTAAGCCACTGGGCCTGGGACTTGAACCATAGTCAACTACACGCGAGTCCAACAACGTAATCATTATGCCATCTGCTGGACCCATAAAAGTGGTTTTTTTTTTTTTTTTTTTTTTAAGAATTATTTTATTTAACATTATTTATTTATTTATGTTAATTTGTCCAGAGAGAGAGAGAGAGATGGAAAGTGAGAAAGCAAGCCGCCACGTCCAGGACTCGAACTGCTGTCAACTATGTGGGAATCCAGCGCCCTTAGCAAACACGCCATCTGCCAGTCCCCAGAAAGGTGACTTTTAAGGGAAGCAGGGAATGTAGGCCTATAACTGGGTCAGTGGATTGGAGAATTCCACAGAACTATAGTACTGAATATCGAAATAGTGCCAAAAGCCTCAGAAGGCTGCTTCTGATGGTTTGTATCTGTGAAACATGCAATCAGTTAAATTCAGTGGCATGATAAACTGGTATCTTGATTTCTAGGTACATAAGATTTATGTTCTGGTCAGAGCTAAAGGTCTAGGCAGCCTCAGGCACCAAAGATATGCTCTATGATAGTTTGGTTATTGGGGCCGGCAGGTGGCGTGGTGGTTAAGGGCACAGAACTCCCACATGGTCAACCACAGTTCGAGCCTCAGACCTGGCACTTTGCTTTCTTTTTTGCTTTCCCTCCCTCTCTCTCTCTCTCTCTCTCTCTCTCACTCTGTCCCTCTCTGGTCAAATTAAAATAAATAAATAAATAAAGTTTAATAAAATAATTCCTTAAAAAAAAATAAAATATTTTAGGTGTCTCTGAGTGCAACATCAAAGATTTTTTAGAAACACTCCATTTTCATTTCGTGATCTTTCATAAATCAGATATATCCATATTGATGTGTTTACCCAAACCTTGTAAAAGCTGTGCTTCTGACCCGCATTGTTAAAGTCGTGACTAATGCATTTGTTTCCCTATACTTCCACCTACTTAGGGGATACTCCAGCAACAGAGGAGAGGGTGGTGCAGGAGTGAGTCAGGGTGGATCTGGGGAGCTGCAGCCCAGGTGGGAGCTCTTCCCAGAGTGCCGCATTGCCTGGGAAGCCAGGTGTGCTCCTGGCAGCATGTCCAACGGTGCTGTGGGTCGGAGTGCTTTGATGAGTTACTTATATCCTTCCTGGCTCACGTTTTCAGTATGAATGAACTGTCTGTCTACATTCCTTCAGCCATTAAGTAGGCAGTGAATAAGTTTGTGCTGGGGACCAGCAGGTGGTGTGCTGGTTAAGGGTGCAGGTCTCCCACATGGCCGACCATGGTTCAAGTCCCAGACCTGGTGGCTTGTTCACTTTCTCTCTCTCTCTCTCCCCTCCCCCTCTAGTCAAATTAAAATAAATACATAAAGATAAATAAAATAAATTAAAAAATAAGTTTGTGTTATGCATGTTTCAGACACATCTCTAGAGGGACCAGCAGGTGGTATCTCTAGGGGGACCAGCAGGTTTTGTGGTGGGTGAGGTGCTGGATTCCTACATGGCTGAGCATGGTTTGAGTCCCAGATACAGCAGCTTGAAAATCACAACAAATAAACAGATAAATAAATAAATAAAGAGAGAGAGAATCTCTAACGAGTGCACAATATAGTGGGGGAGAGAGAGGTGTAAATGCTCAGTCCTCCCAGTGAAGAAATAGCATGGAACATTGCTAATATAGTCTTTTCATTTGATGGAATGCGTTTCTTAGTGAGCTTTTAAGACATTCAGTACAGACTTAATTCCCACTCAAGCCCAGGGAAACTATATGACAATTTCTTTCTTTGTGTTAGTGGTGCTAGCTTAAAAAAAAAAAAAAGAGTTGTCTGTCTGGGTTCTTTTCACTATTGAGAATATGGGGAAGAAAATGTTAGGTTCACTAAGGTGAAGACTCATATCAATCTCATATTCTCTCTTGATCTAGGAAAGGGGCCTAGAGAACCACGTAAAATCCTATCTGAGCAGCTGGTTTGAGGATGTCATATGTCCAATCCAAAGGGTCGTTCTTCTTTTTCAGGAGAAGCTTACCTTTCTGCTACATGCGGTAAGTATTGCCCCAAAAAGAGCATTTTGTTTTTCCTCTTCTTTTAAAGTTTCCTTTCTTCCATGAGCAAAAGAGAGAGAGAGAGAGTATCTACAGCAGCGTCCTCATGCCACAATGCACCCTCAGCTCAGCCAGTCCCAGCTCGTGGGCAGACACTCACCTGCTGTGTTCAGAGCGGTCTCTGGACATAACCCCAAACCTGCCCACGAGGGTCAGCCTCACAGAGTGTTGAGTTACTGCTGTGCCACCATCTGGCTGCCAGTAAGAGCATTTCTTAATCAAGAATGACTTTGGCAGAGTTGGGGTATTTAGAGACATACTCATTTTCTCCAAACATTACTCCTCACTTCACCCTCATGCCACCAGATGTTCATTCAAACTGTGCTTGCCATCAAGATAGCCCATCCTTCATTTACTCAGATCTAGAAAGGTACGTCACTAAGCTAGAATTACAGAGGCTGGCTGAGTCTTCCCAATAGGGTAAAACATTTTTATTTTAAAAATTATTTACTTCATTTGTTGTTATTATTGTTGTTATTATTTTAAGTTTTGCTGTAGGGCATGTGTGTTCACCAGAGAGAGAGAGAGAAAGAGAAGGAAAGTGAAAGAGCACACCACGAGGTCTAGGATCCAAACTATAGTCAGCCATGTGGGATCTAGCACCTTAACCACCATACCACTTGCTGGCCCCAAAACATATTTTTTAAAGAATGATTTATTTGTTTAATTCCATTTGTTATTATTATTTTTTAATTTGACCAGAGACAGAGAAAGGTAAAGGGAGAAAGCAAGCCACCAGGTCCAGGATTCAAACCGCAGTTGGCCATGTGGGAGTCCAGCACCTTTGACCACCACACCACCTGCTGGCTCCCCTAAAACTTTTTTTTTTTAAGAATTATTTTATTTAACTTTATTTATTTATTTATTTTTAAAATTTGACCAGAGAGGGACAGAGTAAGAGAGAAAGTGAGAAAGCAAGCCATCAGGTCCAAGACTTGAACCACGGTTGGCCATGTGGGAGTCCAGCACTCTTAACCACCACACCATCTGTCGGTCCCACCCCCAAAATGTTTTTAAATAATACTTTTGAAGAGTTCTGAGAGAGCTATAATTTCCAAAATAATGTGGAAAGAAAAACAGTAATCCACAGTGTTTCTAACTGTAAAAATGTTAGTGAGCAGAGGCAGAACAAGGCTCTGAGAGCTCGTGGGCAGTGCCTGACGTGATGCGTACCGGGGAAGATGACCTCTAGTCTCAAGTAGCTGCTCGCTAAGGAAACCTGAAATACATGTCTTTCTCTCGCAGGCCCTGAGTTATACTCCTGTTGAGGTAAAAGAGTCAGATGAAAAAACAAAGAGAGACATTAACAGGTAAAGAACATGGTTTTTGTGAAGACAACCTTTTCTACAGTAGACCTGATTTTGACATTTTTAATCCCTCTCCCTGCAAGTGCAGAATGAATTTGTTTTCCCCTGCTCTCTTGGAATTTTGTTTGTACAAAAGGACGTATGTGTGTGGCAGGTTTCTGAGTGTGGCCAGTCTTCAAGGACTTATTCATGAAGGTACCATGACATCTTTGTGCATGGCCATGACGGAGGAGCCCCATAAGTCTGTGGTCATTGATTGCAGCGGCTCCCAGCCTCAGTTCTACAACGCAGGTGAGCTGTAACCACCGAAGCAGCCTTCCTGGATCTCTTGTGAGTCGCCATCTTTGCACTGAGGACAAATGGCACAAACTTATCTTTCCTGCCTTTTGCAGTTTTACATGTTTACCTGGAATTTCCTGAAAACTAGTAACTAAAATCACAGAAATCATGTCATGCCTAGAAATGCTACTTCTAGGTATATAAAGAAACATGGTTGTGTACACAAAGAGACAAATACAACAATGTTCCTAAAGGCATTATTTGAAATAGCCAAGAATTGGGGACAAGCAGTTAGCGTAATGGCTATGTCGCTGGACTCCCACGTAGTTGACCGCGGTTTGCGTCCCGGACCCAGTGGCTTAAAACTCATACCGGGCGTGTGTGCGTGCATGCCCAAAATCCCAAGAGGAGAATGGAGAAGGGATTGCGGCGTGGCCATCCCCCCGGGGAGTGATTTCTCACTTTCTGTCTCTCTGTCTCTCTCTGTCTTTCTGGTGAATGCACGTGCCCTCTTTCTGGTGAACACACGCGTTCTCTAAAAAAAAAAGAAATAGCCACGAATTGTAAGCAGAGGCCTGCAGGTGGTGTGGTGGTTGAGGCGCTGGGCTCCCATATGACTGAGGGGGCTCAAGTCCCAGACCTGGGAGCTTGCTTTCTCTCTCACTTTGTCTCTCACACAAACATGCCCTATAGCATATTAAGAAATAATAATAAATGAAATTACATAATTATTTTAAAATAATAAATAATTCTTTAAGAAAAAATTGGAAGCAGCTTAAATGTTTATCAAGAAGAAGATTGGTAAGTGTTATTTTTGTACTATGGAATATTATAAAGCGGTGAGAATGAATGACCTAGAGCTATATATATGGGTCAGTGTTATTTTCAAACATATTATTTTTATTTATTTATTTTTTTAGAGAGATTTTTACTATAGGTGTATGCACTTGCAAGAGAGACAGAAAGTAAGAAATCACCCCTCAGGGAGGATGGCCACACCACAATCCCTTCTTCATTCTCTTGGGATTTTGGGCATGCACGCATATGCACCCAGCATGAGTTTTAAGCCTCCAGGTCCAGGACTTGAACTGTAGTCAGCTATGTGGGAATCCAGCAACATAACCATTACACCATTTGCTGGTCCCACTCTCAAGCATATATATTATTTAGTAGAAATACTTAAAGAAAAATACATAAAAGTTTTACCATATGCAAAATAATACATATAGGGCTTAGAGATATAGAGGTATGTGGCAAAAGTTTAAAGAAATTATGAGAATCGGGGCTGGCAGATGGTGTAGTGGTTGAGGTATTGGACTCCCATATGGCCAACGACAGTTGGAGTCCTGGATCTGGTGGCTTACTTTCTCACTTTTTCTCTTTCTCTGTTTCTCTCTGTTCAAATAAAATAATAATGATGATGAATAAATTAATTTTTAAAAAAGAAAAAAATTGTGAGAATGACAATCCTTTCTGATAGGAAAGGTGGGAATGCAATTGGGTTACTGCACACAGAGCCATGTCTTAGCCGTGCAGTAAACATACTCTTTTTGTTTAAAATAATTATTTATTTAGTTTTATTTATTATTTAAAAATTTACTGGGACCAGCAGTTAGCGTAATGGCTATGTTGCTGGACTCCCATGTAGTAGACTGCAGTTCAAGTCCCAGACCCGGTGGCTTAAACTCACAGCTGGCGTGTGTGTGTGTGTGCCCAAGATCCCAAGAGGAGAAGGGAGGAGAGGGGATTGTGGCGTGGCCATCCCCCCCGGGGGGTGATTTCTCACTTTCTGTCTCTCTGTCTCTCTCTGTCTTTCTGGGGAGCACACATGCCCTATAGCAAAAACCTCTCTAAAAAAATTTTTTTTTCTATAGGGCATGTACACTCAGGGGGAGACAGAGAGAGCGAGAAAGAAATAAAGTAAGAAAGCAAGTTGCCAGATCCAGGACTCAAACTGCAGTTGGTGGTGGAAGTCCAGTGCCTTTTACCACCATGGCTCCTACTGACCCCAACATACTGTTTTGTCTTGTGTTCTTAGTTTTTGCTGTAGGGTGTATGTGCTTGCCAGAGAGAGACAGAAAGAGAGAGAGGAAAAGTAAGAATTCATCCCCTAAGGTGATGGTCATGCCCCACGTCTCTTCTCCATTCTCCTCTTGGAATTTTGGGCATGTGCCTAGTATGATTTTCAAGCTGCCGGGTCTCTGGGACTTGGACTGTGAAGTTGGCCATGTGGGATCCAGTGCCTTAACCTCCACACCACCTGCTGGCTCGAACACAGTGTTTTTTAGACTATTGTAGAAGTCTTAAACAATTCATTATAAATGTTTTATAAAGAAATGTCTTGGGTTTTATTTTTATTTGTTTAGTTTCTCTAAAATATTTTGTAGGTAGCAACCGGTTTTGTGAGGATTGGATGCAGGCTTTTTTGCATGGTGCTGAAGGAGGTAACCCTTTTCTTTTCCGACAAGTTCTGGAGAACTTTAAACTGAAGGTAATTAATAAGCTGTTTCGAGTGCCACATGCAATTTTTGTCTTAATTTTTATTGGTACTAGTGACAAAGTAACAAATGTGCTTCATAGCTATGATGTCTCTTAAATAGGACATTCTCAAGACTGGAATCATTAGATCTTCATTTTCATTTTCAGTAGCTTTTGCATACATATAATTTCACTTCCAATATACTGGGTTGAATGCTCACTTATCTTTAAGGGACATCAATCTTTTTTTGTGACATATTTTAGTTACAAAGCACAGAAAAAGTAGTTTAGTGCCTAAGGACTCAAAATTCTCATGGGGAACTGTTGTCACTTTATTTAAGAGATTTTTAAAGTATTTTTATTTTATATGAGAGATTTCATTCGACCAAGGGCAAAATATATTAGCAATAAAAATGACAGAAATATGTAAAATAAAAATATTTCAGCAACATATGCTGAGTTCCCAGTTGGAGAGGAGATATTTTTCAAGCTTCATAATGATCTCACTAAACACATATTTAACTGGGTAATCTTTTTCTAGGCCATACAAGACACAAACAATTTGAAGAGATTTATCCGACAGGCAGAAATGAATCATTATGCTCTGTTTAAGTGTTACATGTTCCTAAAGAACTGTGGCAGTGGAGATATTCTTTTGAAGATCGTTAAAGTGGAACATGAAGAAATGCCTGAAGCCAAGAATGTGGTAACCGTCCTTGAAGAATTCATGAAAGAAGCTTGTGCCCAAAGTTGTTGATCATAGGTTTTGAGATAATTGCATCGTGAAGTTGTATATTCAAACCTCGGTGTTTGAAATTGCAGTTATTATCATTGTTCACAGAATTGCTGTTTAAGGTTATTTGAAATTTATTCCAGGTTCTTTTTTCTGTTTGTACTTTTAAAATTTAAATTAATGAAACATTAAAAATCTGAGGAACTTTTTTTTTTTTTTTTTTTTGGCTATAGGGTGCATGCGCTTGCCGGAGAAAGACAGAAACAGAAAAAGAGAGGGAGAAAGTGAGAAATCATCCCCCAGGAGGATGACCATGCCACATGCCACAATCCCTTCTCCTCCATTCCCCGTTGGGATTGTGGGCTCGTGGGCATGCTCACACATATGCGCAGTGTGATGTTCAAGCTGCCAGGGCTGGGACTTAAACCACATAGCCAGCCGTGTGGGATCCAGCTGCTCACCCCCACTGGCCCCTGAGTAACATTTTTATTGAGTCCTAGATAGATATGTTAGAGTTCTGGAACTTTTGTATATTGCTGGTCTCATCAAATTCAGGGTTTAGGAAGCTGTTGCTTAAAAAACTTCAAGGTTGAGGTTTTGACTTCTCACAGGAGTTTGCTGCAGTATGCAGCATCATTTCTTCCCAGAAAAACCATACTATTTCTTTCTCAATGGAATGTATCAATAGCTTCTTTTTAAAAAAAAAAAGAAAAAAAGAATTTTTATTTAACTTTATTTATTTTATTCATTTTAAATTTTGACCAGAGAAAAACAGAGTGAGGCTGGGAGAGTGAGAAAGCAAGCTGCCAGGTCCAGGACTCAAACCATGGTTGCCCATTTGGGAGTCCAGCACACTTAACCACCACGCCACCTACCGCCCCCAGTAGCTGCTGCTTCTTCTTTTTTTCTTTATTTAAATTTATTTACATTCATTCACTGTACATCATTACAACATACACAAAGAGATTTTCCATCCAGAGTACACTGTATATTGACTCTATCAAGCACATCAGCATACATGTTATCGTCAACAAGTAATTTTCCATTTCTTGTTTCCTGTATGTTTTGCTTTTTTTCCCTCATCCTTGACCCTGTCTCTTACCCTCTGCCATCTCCAATAGCTTCTTTTTAAAAACCGTAATCCTAGTCTTAGGACAGATTAGTATTACTATACCATTTCAAAGACCAATCTCAGGACCGGCTGATGGCTCAGCAGTTATACTACTGGACTCCCACATGGCCAACCACGGTTTGAATCTCGGACCTTGAATCCTGGACCGGGACTTGAAAATCAGGCTGGGCGAGTGTGTGTGTGTGTGTGTGTGTGTCCAAAATCCCAGGAGGAGAATGGAGAAGGGATTGTGGTGTGGCCATCCCCTGGGTATTCTCACTCTCCCTCTCCTCACTGTCTCTGCCTCTCTCACTCTTGGGTGAGCGCATGTGCCCTAAGGCAAAAACCTCTTAAAAAAAAAAAAAAGAACGATCAAAGACAAATCTCTGCATCCTGTGGGTGCTTGATACATTTTTTTCTCTGATTGATAATGGCATGGGTGATGAAGGCAGCTTTTAAGTCAATATGTAAATAAATCATGTGTAAGTATGTAAGAAATTAAATGAGCTTTAAAAATAGATGCACTAGCTTCAAGATAAAGCATTGTCTCTGATGGAAAGCTACTGCAGAAGCAGCTGCCATCACTACTTTTCTTTATCCATTTCTTCACTGGTATTTGCCATGAGCCTGTATTTTCTTTTAGATGAAAATGCTGGCAGTTTTGCATGTTTGTTTAAGATTTTTGCCATAGCGTGCGTGTGCTTGCTGGAGACAGAGAGAGGGAAAATGAGAAGTCATCTCCCAGGGGGGATGGCCACACTGTAATCCCTTCTCCTCCATTGTCCTCCTAGGATTTTGAGTATGTCAAAACATGCACCCAGTGGGATTTTAAGCCACCAGGTCCAGGACTCAAACTGTGGTCAGCCACGTGGGAGTCCAGCACCTTACCCACATGCCACCTGCTGGCCCCCTGCTTGTTTTTTTAAAGTTTCTTTATTGAGAGCAAAACAGTGACAGTGCCCCCAACAGGGTCTCGTTCTGTGATGCCTCCCGTCAGCCTTTCTCAGCCAGCCAGGATCACGGGCACGCGTGCACCCTCCCTGCGTGGATAGGTTGACCTGGGAACCAAACCCCGGTTTTCCATATGGCTTCCACCACTGCAGAGTGTTGTGCTCCCGCTACCTCTCTGTGGCTGGATCAAAATGCTGGAGTTTTTAAAATAAAGTGTCCAGAAATGAAACAAAGTATACCTGTTTTATAAGCAAACTATAACAAAGAAGGCAAGCAGAAATTCTTCATATCAGAGTTACTCATTGATTTTTGTCTTTTGTACTTTTGTTTAGCGCCTCCTATTGTTTTTCTCACAATCAACAGAAAGTATCCTCAACTAGCTTCACATGAAAGCCAGTTGTAGTTACACACATATGGGACCAGCAGTTAGTATAATGGCTATGTCTCTGAACTCCCATGTAGCCGACAACGGTTCGAGTCCCGGACCTGGTGGCTTGAACTCACACTGGGCACATGTGCGTGCATGCCCAAGATCCCGAGAAGAGAATGGAGGAGGAGGGATTGTGGCATGGCCATCCTCCCTGGGGGGGTGACTTCTCACTTTCTATCTCTCTGTCTCTCTTCTGTCTTTCTGGCGAGAGCACACGCCTTATAGCAAAAAAAAAAAAAGGAGTGTAGTTACACACATATGATTGCAGTTTGTTCTGCGTAGCTCTTTAATAAATTCATCTGATAATGATTTTGTTTCAAAGAGCAAAAGTCTTGTGTTCTCACTGCCCTCAGGATGCTCAGAGGAACAGAAGCTCATAAAACTGGGGAATCTTCAATAGCTCTAAATTCACATTAAGTCTGAGTTTTAACTTCGAAAATGACTGACAATTGCCTTCTGCTTTTCACTTTGCATAAGGCTAGGGACATGACTCACCCATCCGTTTCTTTTCCTTTAAAGAGAAATAAATTCAAGATCTTCATAAATGCTTTCATATGGTTTTAAACTTTAATAACTTGGATTGAAGGCAGGATAGAAAAATATCTATGTAGCATTTTTTAGTAGTATTAAATTCAGAAGACTGGAAAATCAGCAATTTTATGATATTCCTCAAACCCAACTGCTGGGTTTTTTTTGCTTGTTTTTTTGTTTTTTAAGATTTTTCTTGGCATAGGACACATGTGCTCACTAGAGACAGAGACAGGAAGTGAGAAATTGCCCCCCAATGGAAAGTTGACCATGACACAATCCCTTCTTTATTCTCCTCTCAGGATTTTGGGCACACATGCACACTCACCTGATGTGAGTTTTAAGCCACCGGGTCGGGGTCTCAAACCGCTATGTGGGAGTCCAGTGACACAGCCATTACACCAACTGCTGGTCCCCAGGGTTTTGCTTTTAATAAGCAAAATTAAGACCTCAGCATTCTGAATATAAAAAAGTTTTAATTTTCAAACTCATATGTCATTTAAGAGTCTGTTGTAAATGGCATTTAAAAGTGAATGTAAGGCGGGAACCAGCAGTTAGCATAATGACTATGTTGCTGGACTCCCACGTAGTCGACCGCGGTTCGCGTCCTGGACCCGGTGGCTTAAAACTCACGCCGGGCACGTGTGCGTGTGTGCCCAAGATCCCGAGAGGAGAATGGAGGAGAAGGGATTGCGGTGTGACCATGCCCCCTGGGGGGTGATTTCTCACTTTCTGTCTCTGTGTCTCTGTCTGGCGAGCGCACACGCCCTATAGCGAAAAACCTCTCGGGGGGGGAAAAAAAAAAAAGTGAATGTAAGGCCAGCCCTATACTGCGGTGGCTAAGTGCTGCAGAGAGGAGTCTGATCCCACAAGACCAACTGCAGTCTGAGTCCTGTCCCTGAAACCTGAAAAGCGTGCTTTGCACCTGCGTATGTGGCCAGAATACTGACGGGATGGAGAAATGGAGGAGAAAAAGGATTATGGCATGAACAGGCCCCAGAGGGATGTGCTTGCTTTTAATTGTGCACGTGCTGCCTGACATTTAAAATAAAAGCAAATATATTACCTGCTTTGAATCATTTATGGATGTAGGCAAGGTATAATGGTATGGTCTCTATGTCTGTACACCCTTTTTTGTAATGTTGGCTCACTGCATTATGTGATTATATGCATTTTTTTAAGTATATTCATTGGGGCCAGCAGATGGCGTAGTTGTTACGTTGTTAAACTCCCACATTGTCAACCGCGGTTTGAATCCTGGACCCAGTGGCTCAAAACTCATACTGGATGCATGTGCATGTGTGCCTAAGATCCCAGGAGGAGAAGGGATTGCAGCATGGCCTTCCCCCTGGGGAGGGGGTGATTTCTCACTTTCTCTGTGTGTGTGTCTGTCTGTCTCTGGCAAGCACACACGCCCTAAGGCAAAATCTCTTAAAAAAAAAAAAAAAGAAAAAACGTAGCTTCCATGTGAAACAGACAGGTCCCCCCGACAGGATCATCACAGCGGGCTCTGTCCTGGCTTAGCCAGCCCAGATCCCTGGCACTGGTGCGTGCTTGCTGTGCTCAGGTAGGTCCTAGGATGCAAACCCACGGCCTTCTCCAGGCGAGTGAGCCGAATCACCACTGTACTACCACCTGGCCTCAGTAGTCTTATTTAATTCCATTTGTTGTTATTATTATTTTTCAATTTGACCTGAGAGTGAGAGAAAGAAAGGGAACGTGAGAAAGCAAGCCACCAGGTCCGGGACTTGAACCACGGTTGGCCATGTGGGGATCCAACCCCTGTAACCACTACACCACTTGCTGGCCCCTCATGTAGTAATTTTCAAAGTTTTAAAAAGGATTTGTTTAAACATAGAATAAATTCATGTGTTATTTGTGTGCTATTCATTTAGAAGAAGATGTCTGTCATGTATGAAAAATGATCTGTTTATCTGTCATTATATTTGTAATAATAAAACTCATAAGGCAGTCATTTTTATTTAACAGGTTCAATTGTCAAGCCTGAAATTTTAATTAATCCCCAACAAGTTTGTGGGGGGGGAACTACACGTGTTATACTAAGAGACGTATTGACGAAAATCAGATCACCTGCTAGGGTACGCCTCGCGGTATCCCACGGGAGCATCGGGCAGGGTCTAAGAGCAATTTCCGTCACAATGTTTTATTCATCACC